AGTGACCCCGCTGCCCCCCACAGGGCTCCCATCTCCCCTGCCCCCACCTTCCTGTCATATGTGACTGTCACCCTGTGTGTGTTTTGAGTCAAGAGGCTGCAGCTGGATGACAAAGGGCACGTGTGCGCCATGCCCTGCCCCAAGGGAGGCTGACTGTGCGAGCGGTTGTCCAGCAACGTCCCTGTGGCCACGGAGGCGTGGTCTCCACCCCTGTGTGGCTACCAGGCTGCTCTAGTTCTCGCAGCCCCGGTTCCAGCAATGCCCCATGTGAACACGCCGGGGTCCCGTGTCAACTCGGTAAAAGCAGGTGGTGACGGCACCAGCCGGCCAGGGAGAGAACCTTCTGGCACACTTTGGCCCACACGGTCTGGAGTCAGTGTGGGTGGGAACCAGGCAGTGGCGCACGTGGACAAGAAGGTGTGATCTCGACTCCCCCTTGGAGGCGAGGGTCCCGTGCAGCGGGGATTTCTCCCCTCACCACGGTGGACATCGGGGCAGGTCCCTCTCTGGGGGCATCCTGGGCGCTGTGGGGGGCTGAGCAGCATCCCTGGCCCCACCCACCCAGTCTGATGGCCACAGACCTCCCACCACGAGGCCACGTGGCCCCTGGGGCACAACAGCCCAGGGCAAGTGCCTGCAGGGGAGGGTCACGCTCCTGTGTGAGCCGCCCCTACTGCCTTGGGAAGCAGCAGGTGTCCCAGTCTGCCCGATCAGAGCCTGCGGGCTGCAGGGAGAAGGTCTGGGCACCGTGGGCCCCCTAATCATGTATGTTCTGTATGGTGTTTTCTGTTTAGAAGGCGGCGGCAGCCCCATGAGCTTTTGCGAGCAGAATGTTTTAAGGTTTTGACTGTCGATCTTGGCAGTTCTTGCAGGAGAACAGCTTGTCCGCAGAAAAAACCGATAATAGCACGCATTTCCACACGCCTGGGGCAGACCTGGAGCGGGTAACCACGCAGGGGGAGAGCAGGGCGCTCTGACGAGCAGGCTGGGGCTGGAGTTCGCTCCTCACAAGGGCCACCCTGGAGACAAAAGGCTGCAGCCGTGCTTTCAGCAGGAATGTTTTCAAAAGCTCTCAGGAGAACGAGCAGCAATCAGAACAACACACTCTGCTGTGTGAAGGTCACGGAATTCTTTTGTGCTCTCTGCCGTGAGCAAGAAGGCTGGGAAATGCCTCGTCCAGAGTGTTCTCCCCCTCCCCCGGCACCGTGGACATGGGGGGGCGGGCCACACTGTGGGGGTGCCCTGAGCACAGTGGGGGCTGAGCAGCATCCCTGGCCCCACGCAGTCAGTGCTACACCCCCAGTATGACGACCACAGATGTCCCTGGACACGGCCCAGTGTCCCCTGGGGGCAAGATCGCCCTCAATTAGGAATCACAGGTTTAACCTAATATATGCAAAATATCATTTCCCCGGCGGCCCCACTGCGGGTGCTCGGAGCTGCCGGTAGTTTATGCCTACCATGCTGGAAACCGCGGCTCTGGACACGAGATTCAGCTCCAAGACAATGTCTTATCCAAAGGAAAGCTAGCACCATGAGGGCCCAGAACACCGAGCCCAGGTGACTGCCGAGGTGAAAGTCTAGTGCCCTCAGGGGACGGGGGGTCAGAGCTATCCCCCACAGCTGCCAGGCTGACCGAACACTGGCTTGCCGCTCCAGGAGGCGAGCATCAGCTCCCAGCCCCCAGAGCTTCCCAGGCATCGGGAAGACCCACCCAGTGGCCAGGATCCCCATTAAAGACACAGTGTGAGAGAAACCAGGACCCTGCCCCCAGGAGACCTGGGCCACGTCTGCGGACGTCCGTGGTTGTTTCCACCGTGGAAGGAGGAGCTCCTGGTGTCCAGTGGGTAGGGCCAGGGAGACTGCCCCGCGTCCCCATAGCGCCTGGACACGCCCCAGAGAGTGACCTGCCTGATGTCAGCAGAGCTGAGGTGGGGAACCTGCAGTGGGTCCCCAGGTCCTGCTAGGACGTCAGCTCTGCGGGACCCTGTTCCGGGCACTGCCACTTCCCCAGAGCCTGGCCCAGGCACGCGGAAACCCCTGCTGGGGGAAGGGACGAAGTCTGGGGGAGGGCCACCCTGTGCCCAGGCAGTGAGCACCCAGGAGACTGCACTAGAAGGTGTGACACGGGCCAGAGGCCATGCCCCGGAGGCACACGTGAGCCCCAGAGGAAGGGCTGTGTGGGGCTGGAGCCACCAGCCGCTGCTCCAGAAGAGGGAGGGGAACGTTCCAGAAGCGCGACTCAGTCTCTGAGGTGGGAGTGCAGGCCGCCCACCCCCAATCTTGTGCCTTTGCTCCTGTACCACAGCCTCCGCTCTGGCCACTGGGCCGTGCCGGGTCCAGGGTGGACTTGGGGGTGCAGGTGCCCTGCGCCCCCGAGGTCGCGAGGTCAGCGCTTCCCTCCCCCCCCGGGGAAGGGGCCAGCTGCAGATGCTGGTCCCAGGCAGGGGAGGCTGGGGATCTGCAAGGCGGGGGGCGAGGCGCCTGGGACAGGGTGACCAGGGACTCTCGGTGCTGGGATGTCCTGGAGCACGGGACAGGGTGGTCAGGGAGCTCCAAGAGGGGTGAGCGGAGGGCCGGAAATACCTGCCCCGCCGGCCTCACCTCCACCCACGGCCGGCTCAAGGCCCAGGCCGCGGGCCTTCTCTGCCCCCTCGTGGCCGCCAGCGGGAACTGCCGCACTCTGGCCTGGACCCCCAGCCCCACACCCCAGGAGCAAACAGCCCAAACTCCTGCTCATCATTTAGCTCTGGCATCTGCTGGAGGACAGGTGGCGGGGGCCTTCGCTCAGCGACACCCGGCTGCTCAGAGATGGTAAACCCTGGCCGGGCTCTAGCATGGCTGGACGCCCACAGACACCTCACACAGCGCCTGACAAACAGGATGTGCTCCGCGAGTGACTGTGTAGTTAAAACCGAACCAGGAAAAGCCTGGCATGCACCCTTGCGAGGAGCTCCTACAGGAGAGCCCCTGCCAGGTCTGCCCACGGCATGCCAGCTCACGGAGTCATCCTGCGCCCCTCCACCAGCGCCCCTCCCCCCGCCACGCTGCCCGGTGCCCCCCACCCCAGCCCGCACGGCGGGGGTCAGACCCGTCAGAGAATCTGTGTCGAAGATTTAAGCACAAAAGATGCAACCCGAATAAAACACAGGTGACTTGCTTTCTAGCATCTTGAAATTTGGGGGGATGCCAAAGGAGACAGACACAAAGGCCAGTGTACTCAATCGGTAGGAGAAAGCCCACGGTGAGGACAGTGGCACGACCCGCTGAGAGCAAAACTCACAGCGGGGGTGACGGACACCAGCCAGCGTGCACGCAGAGAAAGACGGGAAGCTCAAACACCGCGTATGAAGAGCTCAAGAACATCGCCAACGAGGGGGACGGACCCCCACCAGGGAGGTCAGTGAGGGCGCTCACAGAAGGCACAGCTGGGGGAAACGCAGAAATCCCCAGCAGCCTGCCCCAGCAGCACTGAAACTGGCCGGGCAGATGGCCTCGCAGACGGCGAGCGGCTGTGGGTAGAGGAAGCCAGCACAGCCTGATTCTCTCCCTCTCTCTCACACGCACGGCAAACCTACGTATGGGAGTTCAGCCCCGATGACAACCGGCCAGGGACGCACAACGTTTGCACGAACACATTCATCACAGAATATAAAAAAGAGAGAGAAAAGAAAAACAGGAAAACAAACACCCCCACAGACCAATTAAATCAACTGTAAAATTATTTTAAAAGGAGTGACTAACAATTTGCCTGTGACGGGGAATGCTAAGTGGGCGTCAAGAAAGATGAGGGAAATGCAGGTTTACTGACAAGGAAAGCAGCCCATCAAGCAGGAGGAGCACATTAAAGAGTAAATCCTATTTATCCAGAATCACGCGTGTGGATGGAACTCATGGAGGGACAGGGGCAGAACGCTCACCAAGACGTCAGCACGCAGTCACGGGGCTGGCACGCCGTCACCAGGCGGGGGCTTTAGCGGCCTTGCTTCTCCTTTGTCTGCACTGTCCTTTCTGCAGGACGTCAGTCCACCTCTACCCGGCCGCTGTGGGTGGTCTCCAAACGCCCCCCTGGCTGGCGACTCTGGGACATGGACGCCACACGGGAGATCACCTGTGTGGGACCCGCTGGGCACCCACATGTCACACCTGGCCCAGGGCTCCCATCGAGGCTCCTGGCCTCTGTCCTCAGACATGGTCTCTCTCCCGAGCCGAACCCAACCATGTCTCCCGTAGCCTTACTGAGGTGCACGTTATGGGCCCTAAAACTCGCCCGTTGGAAGCACACAAGGTGAGAAGTCTCTGGTGAGGGCACCAGCTCGCCCGACCACCCCCCACAGCGAGTCCCCATTCCCACCCCAGCCCCTGGCGGCCACCAAGCACCTTCCTGTCCCTGCAGACGGGCCTTTTCTAGAAACTTCATGGAGACAGACCCACGGGATGTGCGTCTTCAGGATCTGCGTCCTCTTCTAACATTTTTTCATTTAAACACGCGCACACAGAGCTTGGGAATATCCAACGTTATAAAGACATCCAATGTCCCTCAGGTGTACTGACAAATGAAACACAACCCTAATCAAAGTTCCATCAGAATCTCCTCCGGAAACCGAGGTTGACTCTAAAGACCACAGGACAGAGAACACCGCGAGACAGCAGAGCCCTTCATGGGCGGGTGGAAGGGGTGGCTGGGGGCCGCCGCAGGATGAAAGCCACTCAACACCCTTTGGGAATGAGACCAACAGATGAGACGGACGGAGAGAGTTCAGAGAGCAGGATCCGAGCTCAGAGTCCTCCTGAGGCTGCGCAGTGCCTCAGTCGCCAGGATGGGCACCAGGTTTGAGAGATCTGCCATGTCCAGAGACTTGGCTCTGCTCCGGGCAGTGGCTTGGGACGGGCTACCCTCCACACCAAGCCAAGCTCCTCCCTCTCTCCCCTGCCCAGAACGGACAACTGAACCCCACGTTCGCTTCGACAGCGGAGGCAGGAAGCATCACAACACTGACCTGTGCACGAAGCCGAGCTGCCTTCAGCGCCGAGGTTCAGGAACCACACGTCCGCTCCCTGGAAGGAAAACGGAACACTTCAATGGGGCATCATTTGGTCAGAAACGTGTCCATCAGTGGCGGCAGCGAAGAAGGGTCTCGCGCTCTCGGTCAGACCGCCATAAAGACCATTCTAGGGGTCCTGCCTTTCGGCTGCCCTGCCGGCCTCAGGGACAGGCCTCCCGGTGCAGAGGTGGGACTTAAGAAGGCAATTTGCCAGAACGGTCTGTGAGAAGTTTGCAAGATCATCCCTGCTAAATTTTCCAAAGGCTCCCAAACTCAATGGATGAAAGGGTAGGACAATCATGTGAACTTTCATGCTTTGTAAAGATGTTCGCCCACATCACTTGACCCTCACAGTCATTCTGTGAAGAAGAGGTGGAAACTGAGTCAAGCCCCTGCCCCAGGGTACCCACCAACTCACCGGGGTCGGCCTAAGGAGGTGCCGACCTTGGTCCATGAGGACCAAATGCCAGGTGGGGTCCTGGATGGGGTCCCGGGGCAGGAAAAGGGCATTAGGAGCAAACCGCTGAAATCTGAACGGGGTGGGGTTGGGTTCACGGAAGTGCATGGTCGCCACAAACACACCATGGGTCCAGAAGGCGTGGCCATATGGGGGAGACTGGGCGATGAGCAGACAGGAACTCTCTTTGAAACTCTCCCGAAAATCTATAATTATTTTTAAATTAAAAGGTTATTTAAAAATAACTCAATTCTGGGGCGCCTGGGTGACTCAGTCGGTGAAGTGTCCGACTCTTGGTTTCAGATCAGGTCATGATCTTGGGGTCATGGGATTGAGCCCCGTGTCAGGCTCCGCGCTCAGTGAGGAGTTGACTTGGAATTCTCTCTCCCTCTGCCCCTCCCTATGCACTCTCTCCCTCTCTCAAATAAATAAATCTTCTTTTAAAAAAATAATTCAATTCAAAGATTTAAATGCTGGTTCCCTTTCTGGGCGTTCGGGCCACTTTGTAGTCAACCAGGGGCTGGGACGGAGAGCTGAAATCCCCACCGTCATCTGCAGGTGGCGCCACGGGCTCAGAAACGCGTCAGACAGGCTGGCAGAGCTGCAGGAACCCTAAGCTGGTGGGGTGGAGAGCTGCTGCGGCCCGGAGGCCAGGCCAGAGGGCGCCTGGGACGCAGGACCGACCCGCAGGGATGAGAGACGAATGGCCGGAGCGATATGCCCCTGACCCTGGAGGCCAAGACCCGTCTACGCACATGATCCGTCAAGTTTTTATTTCTGAATCAAGACTCACAAGAAGTTGCAAAACTAGTGCAGAGGGGTCCTGGACACCCTGCATCCACGGTAGCTCCTTACGTAGCTGGGGGACGCTGTCAAAACCGGCCAAGTGACTGGTAACCAGGCACCGTTTTCTATTGTTTTCTAGGCCGTCTCAGCGAGACAGTTCTCATGCCGCACAGGAAGTACACAATAAAGGGCTTTTTCGTATTTGCAGAGTCGTGCAACTATCACAACTAGCAACTTTAGGGCTTTTTCATCTTCCCTAGAGAAACCCCGCCCCCATCAACGGTCACTCCCCACCTTCCCCCCAGCCCCCGGCCCCCGCGAGCCCCCTTCCCGTCCGCGGATGAGCCCGCTCCGGACGTGTCACCCACGCGGACGCACACCCCGCGTGGCCTTCTGTGGCTGGTTCCTTCTCTGAGCGTCGTGGGCTCGGGGTCTGTCTCTGAGGCCGTGCGTGTGGGCGCCTCGCTCCTGCTCGCGGCTGAGGGACGCTCCCGCACATGGGGGACACACTGCGTGTATCCCTTCACTGCTGATGGGACACTTGGGTGTTTCACCTCCATCATGAACATGGTGTCATGAATCCTTTCAAAGACGGTTTCTCACTCTTTGCCTTCATGTGTACCAACTGCAAATCGCCCTGCCCCCAGCCTGGAAACACCAGCCTGCACTTGAACTTGAGCACCTCGGCGACCACCACAGACGCCCCCACCTTGGCTGTGCTCAGCCCAGGCCCGCTTGAGCAACGCAGCCCTGCAGCTCTGTCCCGGGGCCCACGAGACCGCAGGCTGCCAGTGGCACCAGCCGGCTCCCGGCTGTCCCTGTGACCTTCACCAGGCAAAAACGCTGGGCTTTCACTTTCCCCGTCAGAGGGAACCACAAGCCCTCCTGAAGGGCCAGCAGCGGCACAAGGAGCTGGACCCGGCAGCAGGACCTGCTTCAGAATTTGCAGAGCTGGCAGCCAAACGAATCTGGGATCCCTCGTTCAAAAATTACGCCAAACTTGAGAACTACGGCAGAGCCTGCAGACCCCACGCAGACCCTGGCCCGAGGCGCCGCCGGGGAGGCAGGCAGACCGCAGACACACACAAAGCAAGCTCTGGAGGAAAGTGCCCGGTGCCGAGGGAGAGATAAATCACACCTGGAAACGGACAGTTTCCAACGGTGGCCATCGGGGTGCCCGCGTCAGAAGGACCACCACCATTTGTCCTGGGCAGCGCTTCTTCCGACCTGGGACCTTCCTCTGTTCACACACTTCCTTTCTCTCCCTTCCCTTTACACTGAGATCAAATTCACCGACCATGACATTCACCCTTTCAAGTGTCCAATTCGGTGGCTTTTAGGATATCTGCCAGGTGGTGCAGCCCCTGCACTAACTCCTGGACGCGGTCCTCAGCTCCCGAGGGGCCCCCGGGCCCATGCCGGGGTCCAGTCCAGCGTCCCGGGAGGTGCAAGACCCAGCCATGCAGGGGCCGCGCCCCCCGCACACAGCACACAGCCATGACCCTGGGGTTTCCTGACCCCCAGTCGGTGCTAAGGGAAGGCCTGCGGAGACCAGGTCGCCCCCACAGAGCTGGGTGGCAAAGGCCAGGTCCCCCCGGAGGCTTGGCTGTGACTCGGGAAGGGCTGGAACCCCGCTGCAGCGTGTGGGACAGGTACAGGGGCTCGGTGAGCGCAGGCATGGCTGCGGTGAGCCTGGTCATGCAGGCCCCCGGTGTTGGCCATCAGCAGCATCGTTTGTCGATGGGAAAGGGGAAGAGAAAACACACGAATCACAAGCCAAGGCTCCAGGGGCTTCCACCAGTAATTTCCCGGTGGTTTCTACTTCCCTCGTTATTCTGAAGCCTGATGTCTCCGAATGGTGAGTGGGGGACACGGGCAGCGGGACTCTTAGCTCCCAACCCTGGAGATTTGAAACTCCCAAAAGCAGGGCTGTGAACCCGGATGTTAGGGGAGATGACGGGCCAACCTCTGATGAAGGAATCACGCTGGGCTGCGCCTCTTAGAGCCTATGGTCGGCATCTCTGGATTAAGGAACTGAGGAGCCAGCCCCAACTGACACGGGACGTCTCATCTGGGAGGAAGGCGCATCGCAACCCACTTTGCTCAATCAGAGCCTCCGGGATTTTTCCAGTCCTGCTGTGTGCAAACACTACTGTCCCTCCCTCTAGAATTCAGGGTCCCCCCACGTCCCGGCACTGCGGGTCATTCTCTATGGGGGTGGGGGCATCCTGGGCACTGGGGGTACCAAGCAGCATCCCCCAGGCACTCGATGCCACGACAACCCCAGTCATGATGATGACCACGGAGTCCCTGCAGGGAAGAGGGGGAGCCCTGCTCGACAGCCTGCCCAACAGCTTCCTGAAGCTTCTATTTGAGGTTCTGTGCCCAACTGGACACACTAGCCACGAGCTGCTGCCACCTCTGAGTGCCCTGTCCCCTCCTGGGGGTTAAATCCCTTTTCGGGTAGCACCCTGTTACCAATCTCCCGGGCCGGGGGAGGGGTGGGGCAAAGACTGAACCTGAATGTCAACTGGGACTTCGGTTAACGGTCACGTATCAATACTGGTTCATCGATGACGACAAATGTGCAGCACTAGAGCAAGATGGTAACTGTGGGGAAATGTGGAGGGGGTGGGGGCTACGCGGGAACTCTATTTTCTGCTCAATTTTTCCATAAACCTAATGCTACTCTAAAAAGCAGTCTATTAAGAGAGGGTCTTGAAGAGACAAATTAGAATTCCGATTTTAGAAAGGAGGAAGGGAGCCGGGAGGGGAGAGGGAGCCGGGAGGGGAGAGGGAGCCCGTCTTAGGCCAGATGATCACTAAGTGCTCACATTTCACCAGTGATTCCTTCAACGAGCTGTTACGAACCAGACCCAGAGAGAAGTTGGGTCAGTCCTGGCCAAATGCATTTCCTACTTTTTCCCCCAAAGCTCTTGTGAGTATTGTTAACAACATAGTTCAGTGAGGATCAGCCTCTCCTGAACGCTCAGGCCTGGATTAACCTACACCAGAGCCATCCCCCAGGCCCAGGGACCCGAGTGGACCAGAGCCCTAATAGAATCAGTCCCAAACCTCTGCCCTCGATTACTCCCAAATCCCATTTGGCCAACGGAAAGCCTATTGTGGCCGGTGATGAGCTGATTTCTGCAAGATGGCACCAGGCAGACATCATCCAAGACACCCACGGGACCCGGACACCAACATGGTCTAATAGCGGGGCCCTGACACCAGGGCCGTGACACTGACGGGGCCTGGATCAGCGGAGAGCTGATACACCTGCCGTCAGCATGGACTCACCTGACGTCCTCACCTAGACGTTTGGTCAACCATCACAGGTGTCTAATGGTAAGCACTGAGCAGCACTGGATTTTTCATTTTCTTGTTTTCCCAACATCTATTGGCCTGATAACGTGGGGAGACACAAGAGCCCAGCGGGACACGAGAAATTCAACGAGGGGAGAGCAGCCTAACAACAGGGGTGAGAAAATGAAATCTTTGGGATTTCACGAATTATCACAACATAAATGCCAGCACCAAATTTCTGAAACTGAACGAAGCCCCTGCCTTTACCTCCTTCCCTCTGAAGCGGGACCTCTCCCTCCCCCCGCCCCCAGCACTGCTGACTCTCTGTGGGGCCTCCCGGGCGCTGTGGGGGGTGGAGCAGCACCCCACGACCCCGCTCGCCCAAGGCCAAGACCACCTCAGTTGTGAGGAGGCCAACATCCCCAGGCACCCCCGACCGCCCCAGGGGGGGCAGGACACCCCCA